AAAATAAAACAATATTTATGGCATCAAGTGCCAAGTTTGATAAATGTGTATAATATATTTGATACCTACATGTAATAACAATGAAAGCTTTATATACATATCGACTCATTTAAAAATCTTTTTCAGCTAAAAAGTTCCTTCAATAAACATGTCTTGATAACACATGTGTAGAACATCTGTTGAATAGTTTTAAATATAACTACAAAATCTCATTGTATTTAACCTATACCTACCTGAAATATGGTTGCATTTGAAGTAACTTCCTCCCAAGGCTGAAGTTCCTGGGCTCTTAAAAAAATTAGTCAACATTTACTACTTCTGTCATTTAAAAAGAGGTTGTTTCACATGTTAAATTTAGTATATATTCATATTAATATTTGCCCTACATAAGATAAGATTTATTGATACCAATTTGGGGCCCCTCAAAGCATACAAGTAAAGAATAATATACACAAGAAGAAATTCAAAATTGATAGCCCTACATATACACAATAAATATAATCAGAATTCTGCATGACCAGATGATATTTTTTTCCTGAATACCTTACAAATTCTTCAGGTGGGGGTGGTAACTGAAAAAGATCTCGTTTTTCAGCTGTTTCCTGTGTCTGACTTGATGTTGAAGGCTGAGCAGAAGTTGAGGGCTGTGACGCATTGGAGTTACCTGCTGTAGAGGCGTGTCCTTTGTTTAGCACCTCCTTTAGGGCATGGCTTTTTAGAAGATTATCCAGTAACTTTTTAGATGCTTTATCACCTTCATCCTCAGCCATCATCTTTCTCTCTCTTCGAGAGGCCTGAAGGACAAATATTTCTCAAATACATCTGGTAATTTCTAACTTGTTTAAAAAGTACTGGTAATCAATTGTTTTATTGTTTAAGTCTATTATATTCAAAACAAACTGACATATACGAGGGCTGTTCGGAAATTATTGAGACATTTACTTTTACTCCATAAAGGCCAGAGATAAATTCATGAAAATTTGTCAACGTTTTATAAAGAACGAATAAAACAAATGTGCAAAATTTCTAATTTAAATGATAATTAGACAATATGCGATGAAATTATAAACATGCATATGTCTATCGACCTGGAGCAGCATCACTACGTCATTTTAACGTCACGTCAGCCGGAGATGTTTTCACATGTGAAACGATCGGGAAGTCTTTAATCATCTTTCTCTATTATCACATATAACATTCCAAAATCAAATGTCTTTTTAAACAATTCTTTCAAAAATAAATTAAAATAAATGTGTGCTGTTGCTACCTCAGTGTAAAAAATACATGAGGTGTCATATACAGGTTGAATTAGCATCTTGCAGTACCGATTAATGCAACGCGGGTCAACGTTATTTAGTCCGTAATAATTGATGGTCGTCCGGAGCTCTTGTATTTATTCCTGTTGAATATTTTGCAAGAAAAAAATTGATACAAATGAAAAAATAAAACCCTAAGGCATGTTTTTTTTTCATTGTTATAATATTGTTTTAGCAGGTCGTTTAGTCTGGAAATAGTTCTCCATAGCGCTACACAAAATTATAGGTATGCTCGCTGCGCCGCCTTGACGTCAAAATCCATTTTGTCGTCATTCTCAGATTTCTATGTCGCGCTTAAATTTATTTATGATTTCCGTATTTCTGATCGAAATTCTAACAAACTTCCGCAAAATGAAGTCAAAAGTCAAATTCAAAAATTATATACATAAATTGAATTATTTTCGCTCTTACTATTGGTCAACCGGGAGTTTGAACGTTGGTGTTACATTTTTTCAATATCTGATTTCGTGACTGCGCCGGGTACCCCTACCATTGGCACATTAATATACCACTGTAAAGAAGAAATAAAACATTTGTAAAATATTTTTTGCTTTTATTAATTCTTAGTATTTGTCAAATGTATATGCAAATTTTCACCAAAAGACGTTCATTAGAAAAAAGAATATACACATTGTCTCAATAATTTCCGAACAGCCCTCGTACAGTTCACTCTGCTAGCTGGCTGATATATTGAACATCAATATTTCAAATACCATGCATGGATGTGTCAAAGTTAACTGGAAGTCCAAACCACTTTTCCTTTATGTATTTTAACCTCAATATCTCAAACCCTTAGATATCTTTTTTTTTCCTCTAGATTTTCCTTGGCCCGCCAGAGTTTTAGAAATGTAGTTTGATTGTAAAATGTAAACAGCTCAATCAATTCCAAATTCTTAGAAGGTTGAGATTGTAACTCACTTTGACAAATCCCTGGTTTTCGACAAAACAGTGTTTGAGGTAAAGATGTTCAACTGTATTTCTCTTTATGAGATGTTAATTTATAGATATTCTCCTTGGTTTTTAAGATGCATAATACTGTGGTCTCATTTTACACATGCACAACATGCATGAGGCGTACTAACTGAAAGTAATATACTTATTTATTTAAGTCCTATGCAGTGGTGGATTTAGAGCAGCTTTAAACTATCCTGGATCAACCATATAGCTTAACAAAGATCAAATTGTCCATTACATGCATAAAAGTAAAACATGTATTAAAAAATTCATCTGTGCAACAATTTACAACTACAAACTTCAAGATTTAAATATAAAAATTTTGCAGAAAATGAAATAAATCATCAAGAGTGAAACCTCTTACCATTGTCTGCTTTTTAAGCTCGGGAACACTCCCATCAAACACAAACACAGGTTTGATCTTGTAGTAGAGCAGTTTACAGACTCTGGTAAAAAGAACATGTAGGTGGGCGTTTGGTAGAGGGTTCCCACTTTTGTCTCTCATACCCTTCACTGCCTGATGTAGCCATATACTCACGTCTATAGTCCCATGGTTAAGGTGGCTCAATAATACTGTTATTCATATTTCAAAATCATATTCCTCTAATTATTTGAAATTTCAAATATACCATCATAGTTGATATGTTGCTTATTATTTATGCCGCGCCATCTCACGCGCAGAGCTGGACTCAGAATGGTGGCTGTACCCGTAAAGTGCAGTCTATCCAGTCAATATAAAAACACACTCTCTACCATCGGCTCATACATTCAACTCTGTCACTGGTTCGCATATATCACAGTGTGTAGCACAAGAAATAGTGCGTTTGTTTTAATTCACTATAAATATTTCTCTGTGCTAATGTTTGTCTTTTAAGGTAGATATTTCCTAAATAGGTATAGAACTATTGGTATAATTTGAAATAATCCTTGGAATATCATGTTTTCTACTTTATGTCAAAAATTTTGATGCAAGCTCATATTGCAGAGGTTTCTGAGAGAGGAACGAGCAATAACTCTACATAGGAGATTGATAAAAACTAAGAATACCCACTACTAGTACATTAAATATTACAGAATTATACCAACTCATTCCAATAAAGAAACAAAGGATACCCACTGTTAGAACATTAAAGGACTTAGCGCATGTTTCCAAATTATTTGAAATTAAAAGTGTATTACGTTCCTTATGACCACAATTTATAAATTCTGTGTTTTTACTGTGGATAAATCCCGGTAATTAACCAATTATTGACTCAAATGAAAACCCCTGAATAAAAAATTTAAGTTAATTAGATAGCGATCATGTGACCCTGTGACGTCAAAGGCGACAATGGCTGATCAGCTCTTCATTAATCTAACTAAAATATACACGATACAACCTGAATTTTCTGCGTTGTGGACGACCAAATCACTTATTTTATCGATATAAATTGAATATTCAACCTTATATGTTAGAATTGTCAGCAAGAAAAAATCTGAAAAATCTGTTAACTTTGTAAAAATAGCAGCAACGATAGCGAGGGAGACGCAGCGAAGACGAAGAAACTCGCCATAACAATGCAATTTGATTTGTCATCTTATCACATGTATTAACTTATTTGATTCACAAATTAAACATTATATAACTTTGTTATTCTTCGTTTTGTATATAACATTAATTTATGCAAGTCTTCATATGTTTTTTAAAGGATGGCGATCTTGAAAAGTAATTTCCCGATCACGAAACATTGCCGTAATTAGAGCTACAGATTCTAAATGTTTTGAATAAAAAACGAAAATATCTTAAAAGCCTTATACCTTAGAACTAATTAATGTTCTATAGTAATTAAAAAGCATATAAGGAATTAATTTTTTCAGCATTTTTCGTAATTAAGCTGCATTTGTCGTTGATAACTCCGTAAATAGTGTGCATATTCTCATCTCTCTATCACCGAATTGTCGCCTATGACGTCAGAGCAGTATTTCGCCGAAATCCGACTGAAATATGCATATTGCCGTATTTGAATTTCAACTCTCCATATCTCTTAAAATATGCTTTCAATAACGTTTATTGTATTCAGTACTTTAATAAATATGGTTATAGACAATATTTTTCATAAAATTACGATTTTTGAAAGATCATGCGATAAGTCCTTTAAACATTACAGAATCACAGAATCATACCAACTCATTCCAATATAGAAAACAAAGGATACCAACTGCTAGAACCTTTCCTTCTAAAGACTGAAGGGAAACAGGTCGTCCAGTCGGTTGGAGTAACTGCCATAATCCTTGCACACCCATCTTTAATCGTTAGTCACTTGGGAAACCCAGACATGAATAATGCTGCGTGGAAGGAGCATAATTTTATAACAACCCTATGTTAAACTTTGATAACCAAATGACATATTCATACCTAAAAATACTACTTACAAGTTGTAATAATATATCAATGACAAACTCTATGAGAAGCATCGATGCAACTCTGTTCTACTTTCACTTTCTTCACCTCTGTTACGGAAGCGCTTAGTGAAAATTTTATTATAGGTGAAACGTTTTGAAGATGCATTGATTCTGTAGGCTTGTACATAAATTCCTTCTAACAATACGAATCAAAATTTTGCTGTTAATTTATATATTTATTATCTGTAAACAAAGAGTTATTTTTTTTATATTCCTAATCAACTACAAGAATTTATCATTATGAAACTGTAGCGGATTTCCTATCCTGGAACCAATTTTAGAATATGCCTTCGGAACTCCTCTAATGTTTTGTAGAACACGTGCTCCGTAAATAACAATGGCGGAAAGCGGTAAGAAAAACAGTTAAAAAGAATTATTATATCTTTGTATTCAGGCATTAGGGGGCTGTATTATCTTTACATTGCAGTGCAAATTATACTCTGATAAGGTTTGTTGACTAATACATCACTGCCGTTTCTATATTTTGCGCTGCATGAAGATTCACGATTGCACACGTGGTTGACACAGCTGCAAGTCTGCCAGAGCCGACAAAACTGTCTCTTTTTTTTTTATCACGCTTTCTTTGTATTATTGATACATTGATTATTTCTGATGTGCAGAGTAGTGTGATAAAAAATTAATGTTCTGTAAAGTGTGTCAGATTTATTATGTTTCATTTTGGAATGCTTTTAACAGGTTGGGCACACCCCACCAAATGGTCATTTATCCCCCGTTTGGTGGACAATCTCCCATATCGGAGACGAATTTTACTGACCATTTGGGAGAGAAAAATGGTTGTGTTCAATTCCATAGAATGGCGTGGAATGGCGCATAATTTTAAACCATGTGGAATAAAATATAGATATTTATCGGTGTTCTCAGTGAAAAAAATCGGAAATTCAACGTGCAATTTTTTGCGAAGAGTCGTTCAAAAATTTGACAAAAAACGTCACGTACGTAAACAAGTGCAATGTTTCTCCATTTTTACTCAAAAAGAAAATTCCCTCCTTCTCCAACGATGCTGCACCTGTCAATCATGTTCTTTACTTTCTATTTCGATTATCCGGGCAACCAGTCAAATAATGCAAACCAATAAAAAACGATGATCTTTTTTTAACCTGGTCAAAAGTCGGATTTTACTACGGAGGCACATTTGTGTCAATTTTCAATTAGGAAATCAAAAGAAAAATAAGTTTTCGCCTTTATTTCGTTTTATTTTGTACGCAATAGTTTTGTTCTCTATAAAAATAGTAAATGAAGTTAGATTATGATATAATTATTGTTTTAAAACGATGTACTTGGAACGAAAACAAGAATAATTGCAAAAGACACTTTGTAAATCTTTTATTGAAAATTATTTATCAAATATATTAAATTCATCAGTAATATACATATTAAACCACAAAACTTCGCATGGAATATGCAAGTTCATCCTTAAAGAAAAATAACAACAGATATTACGTTCAAGTCTAGAAAATTAAACTTTATAGCAATAAGTGCCCACCAGACCAGTAAAGTAATGAGGAGCTCGTGTTTAACGGGATTTTATGCAAATAAATATTGACGAAGATCCAAAAAGCGATTGAAACTTAACTTATCAAGAGTTAAAGCACTGGATAAAATAGAATTTTTATCCTACTAGACACAATCAAATTTTTTTTTGATCGATTGATCAGGAACTTCGGCTGTTACGGACAACTATGGGTATCGTTTTTAGGAAGTTATGGAGAAATTCCATATGGAAAATCGACCGAATTGTGTAAATTGTGAGCGAAATATGTTCACTAAAATTCCCCAATGCCTCTACAAATGCGCTTTTGCTTTATTGTAATAAAATTTGGAAAAGAATAAAGAAGTCCACCATTTGGTCAGTAAAATTCGTCTCCGATATGGGAGATTGTCCACCAAACGGGGGATAAATGACCATTTGGTGGGGTGTGCCCAACCTGTTTAAAAAGCATTGGTGATTTGTTATCAGCTATAGCTATGTAGGTTACTATACTATCCAAATACATTTATTTTACCTATGATATAATAACTCAAATTAGTTTTTAGGTTTAGTATTCATTTTACTGAGAAATCAAAAATCAAATGCAGGAAATTGGTAAATTTTGGGAATAGTTATTCAATACTAATAAGTATATTTTTCGTCTTGTGACATAGATTGCATTATTTGGTAATATTTGTAGAACACAAGAAGAAAAAGAGGAAGAGTGGAGCAATTGATGTTGCAGTATGTATATTTGTCTCTAAAAAATTTAGCATAAATACACAATAAGACTCATAACTTAATCAATTTTAATGTTAATTTTATCATACAAGAAGTCGAGAGCGGATTGATTATTTCCTGCAAATAGTAAGAGGTCACACACTTTAGCATGTAGGCTAATGTAATTATTTGAGTAAATATGAATGCTTACCCTTGTTTCACTGTCACATGACAAGATATTATGGTGGTCAGGCAGGTTTGGTTGCCAGTGGCCAGAAAGCTCAGTTGGTAAAACACCAGACTAGTGATTCAGTGGGCCCAGGTTCAAATCCTGGTCTGGTCCATTGCATTTTCCTTGCCAGTTACATATACCTTTATATTTGCAGGAAGCTCAACACTCGGAGAATTTTCTTCTGAAGCCCTCCACTGTTGTGGAACAATTGGACACATCACAATGGCCACTGCTACTCAAGGTAAAGAAGATATTTAAATGCAGATAAAAAAAATTATGTTAAAGATTGCTCATTAAATCTTTATTAACTCTGCCATGGGTCATAACATAGATATTATAAAACATGAATAAAAAAAAAGTAATTTGAAAATATTTTATCCAGTTCAGAAATGCAAACAATTAATTTTTAATTTTTGTGTGTTTGCAGAATTTTGACAAACTGAATGTGAGGACTGCTCACTATACCCCCATTCCAGCAGGTTGTTCTCCATTGAAAAGACCAATACAGGAATATATCAAGTAGGTTTCTTCCCACCAAATTACAAGATACAGAGTGAATTCTTGTAAAGTATTCTCATTTTAAAGTCTTTTTTTTCTTCCACTTTTGCAACCTTTTCAATTATGATTTATAGAAGTGGCTTTATCAATCTTGACAAACCAGCCAATCCATCTTCACATGAGGTTGTATCATGGGTGAAGAGAATCCTGCGGGTACAGAAGACGGGACACAGTGGGACCCTTGACCCTAAGGTCACGGGGTGCCTCATTGTGTGTGTAGAGAGAGCCACTCGTCTGGTCAAGTCACAGCAAGGAGCAGGGAAGGAGTATGTGTGTATCTTCAAGCTCCACAGTGTAGTAGATGATGAAAAGCTTGTGGCACAGGTGAATTGGATAAACATGCCATAAAAAATGGCGAAAATTTTCTTAAAATAGTAAATTTTTCTTCAAGTTAGAAAGTGATTGGGTTCTTGTTTACAGTTCATTTTAAAAAGATAAAAGATCAGCTTGTAAAAGATTTACGTTAATCATATGTACCGGCATGCAAAATAAAAAAACAAGGAAAAATAGTATTCAACTTATTTTGTATCCCTGTTTTTGTACGTCAAACTCATGCAGAATGTATGAATTTTATGTCACAGAAATTAGAGATGATGACCGGGGCACTGTTCCAGAGACCACCTTTGATTTCTGCCGTGAAGCGACAGCTGAGAATTCGTACTGTGTACGAATGCAAGATGCTGGAGTACAATAAGGATGATGCAATGGGTAAATAGAGCATTGATTTATCCTGTAACATGAATGCTAGAAATTCCATTATTTTGTTTAACACTGGAACAATCTATATGAAATTATTTTTGTAAAGCACCCTTGTTTTGATGGCAACTGTGCCAGATAATCAAAACACAAATTCAGAACTAAATACTTTTATTATAATTTTGTATTTTTTACTGTAAAACTATGAGGCAAGTTATAATCTGCAGAATGCAAGGTTACTACTGTCTAACATTAATGGTGCTTTCACACCTTGCTCAGGTATCTTCTGGGTGAGCTGCGAAGCTGGCACATACATTAGGACAATGTGTGTACATCTCGGTCTCTTTCTGGGGGTCGGGGGACAAATGCAGGAACTCAGACGAGTTAGATCTGGTATCATGTCAGAAAAGGTGGGTGTTTGAGATTGGAAAACAAAAGTGTTTTAAGTAGATGTCCTTGTTAATTAAATAACAGGTTTTTTTTGTTGTATGAATGAGAAAAGTTTACCATTTATTTGAACAAAGAAGCAATTTCTTTGGAGGAAATCAAATGTACTTGTATTTGTGACACTGTGTATTGATTTTTCAGGCAAACTTGTACACCATGCATGACGTGTTGGATGCCCAGTGGATGTATGACCACCACAAAGACGAGTCTTATTTAAGGCGGGTGATCAACCCTCTGGAGGCGTTATTAACATCACATAAAAGAATCATCATGAAAGATACAGCAGTGAGTTTACGTAGAAATCTTTAGATTAATTGACAAATACGGTAGAATATACTCGTCAAAGACAAAGATTTATGTGTTAATGGAATTCTAGTGATCAGTTGAAGTACAAAATATTGTACGTTTAGAATTCTCTAGATTTGTAATAAAATCAGATAAATAAAAATAAAATTAGAGCGAATGCTTGTCAAAGATACATGTGTATTTAGAAAGTAAAGCTTGTTATGGCATCGAGCTCTTGAGCTCGAATGCGATGTAGTGGGTGACCAAACTTTACGCGACCGAATGTGTCAGTCCATGCATCCGCAAAAGAAAATAGCAATAACAATGCATCGATTTCTTTGAAAATATTCACATGAATAATAGCTTGAAAATAAAATTGCATCAATTATATCTACAAATAAATTGTCACATAACAAAGATACCCTGTTTTAATTTTTATTTTCACACAAGAAAAACGTGTCAGTTCTTGCGGATGAAATTCTAAAGAAAGGCTGTGTTGAATGACATGAATACGCCATTTTCACAGTATTTGTGCTAATTGTGTTGCACTTGAACCAAAAAATAAAAAGTCAAACAGCACATTATTGACATGTTTTCTAGAAAGTACAATACCTATGCAAATGAGTCCCAAATTTTTTTTATATAAGCATTCTTACAAAAAAAGTTATGCGAAGTCAAATTTTGGGCGAGACCTTGTGTTGCGGACACTACATAACACCTGTTATGTCTAAAATAAAATATTAAAGATATTTATTTATTCCAAACTTCTTGCAGGTTTTCATTATGTACCTAATTGCAGTGAAATAAAAGAAAAATCTTATGGTTCTCTTTGAAAACAAAAATTTTATTCACATTAATGACTTGCTAATTTTTTTGCCTAATTTATCTCCCTTCCTTAAGTTTATCTACCTTTACAATCACACATAAGACCTATATAATTATCATGTGAAAATTAAATTGAATACTTCTAAATTTCAAATACATTTGTCATAACACCCTGGATATCTTCGTTTGTATCTTGTCTAGCTTTGAAAATGCATAGCATTTTTGTTGCAGACACTACAAGTAACCATAAGAATAATCTTTTGTCACTTTTATAAAAATAATTGTTGAGAAATGTTCATTTCTAGGCTGAATTATATACCACCGGATCAACTCTTGAAAATGTATCATATCAAAAGATGCAGAATGTGGTTTATTGAGATGAAAATAACCACATAACAAGGACCATTAATTATTTCTTGATGTATAATTGTTTTGCAGTTTTAAAAAATGTCTATGATTTTACTTATTTTAAAACAATTAAAGAAGTTATATATAACAAATAGATTTATAGATAAATTCAATGAATTAAAGAATTTACTGAGGCATCCGTAATTTTTTTTCAGTATTGAAATTGTTGCGGACACTACAATATATTGAAATATTGCTATATGACACCATATTTGGTTTTAATGGAGTAAACTGAAAATCTTAATCTCTAACTAGTTCTATATGTACAGTGAATGGTGTTATATTATAGGGAAATAAAAAAGGCTAGTCAAAAATGGCTATCCGGCCTGGAAAATAAAACCCATACATATACCAGTAAGTTTGAAGTGTTATCTTGTACAAAAATCACCATTTGTTATCTTAATCCAGTTAACTAATTGTATTATCAAAGGAGCAAAATATCAGAGAAGTGTTTTACGTTTCAAAAATATTTAATGAAATAAAAAGTGAAAATAATAAATGAATGTGGTATATAGTTATTACTGTACCGTAATTTTGGGGGTATAGGTCGATGGGGTATATAGGTCGAAAGGCTCATTTTCAGCCGAAATTTTTAAAAAATCCTTAGATAGGACGAATCCGGAAGATAGGACGAGGCTTTGTTTATTGATTTTCTAGAGATTCTTACGTATATACTACGTATCAGAACATGTAAACCTCTTTAACTTAACCCGTGATATTAACGTATTGAGAAAATAAACTGGTATTTTTATGAGTACAGCATTTTAATAGTGTTTTATACAAACATAGTTAAAATTTCCTTGAATTGTGATATAACGTATTTTCTCCAACTTGCCTGTTCAATGCCGTCGTAGTTTGACTCTGTCCTTAAACACATAAATACGGTAGTATACAACAGCTATTATTAGGGAAATACCCGAAATCAAACAATAATCATTTCCATTTTAGAACATCTTGGACACATTCTTTTATTCCGACGTTATTTACCGGGGTACAATATTAACTTCGATGACCGCCATTTTCATATTTCTTGTCCAGGGATTTGCTAAAACACGCAAATGACTATTACCAGTACATGTAACAGTGAGCAATTGAAATTAGTTATATTAATATGCTATAATTTTGCTTGAGATATTGCTGAAAAAATAAATTTAATTGAGAGTACATTCGCAATTTAACAGTCATTATGAATTTCACAGTTTTGTTTGTTCAATGATGTATAGCACTAATACCCCTGTAACGGCACGTGGATCTGTTAATCATGCCCCGCAGGTGTTTTAACCAACACAGGTGTTAACACCTATGTGTACACAGTGTATATCCCTTTATCTGTCAGACAATTAAAATTCTATTAGAAGCCAATCTTTGTATAATTCAGTGTACCCCCTGGGATATAAAACAAAATAGTTATGACAAGCGGTATATTTGGTAAATAATTTTAGGAATTTACTGGCAACAATTTATTTCACGTATTTTACATTTAAATAAATATCACAAGACAATGAAAAAATATTTAGGTATACTATTTCAATTAATTGTTACAAATAAATGGAAAAAAAGATTACAACTGCGATTGTGAAAACGCTTCCGTATTTTAAACTTTGATACGGTTGCGGTTTTATTTTTAGTAAGCGATTGCGACTTCCAACTTCACAAGATGGACACAGCATGTTGTAAATATACGTTGAGACATTATTTACTAGATGAAATAATGTGGTTTTTTTGTACATCGACGGATATTTAATGGAACTTATTTTGTAAGAAATCAATGAAAAATATTTAATTCTTTATTGTTTAGTACTTTTTTCTCGGTAAAATAATTTAAAAAGTTATGAAAATGGCACAGATTTGTTTTGAAATTGACGTAAATTTCACTAATTTGGGGGCATTTTTCATAAACTTGAGCCTTAGAAAGGTCGATTCGTTAAATTGGGCGACCCCAACGGTTCTGAGAAAAAAAGTATCGACCTATACCCCAAAACTTACGGTAGTTCCGCAACACAACTGTATTAATTAGAACTAGACTTATTAATTAACAATTAACATCTTGATATATTCTTTAGTTTCCACTTACTCAGTTTTAAATACCACATGAAAATTAACTTTCAGTATATAACATAAGACTGACAAAAGAAAGATTTTGAATATTATGTATAAACAAGTCGTTATGGGTGTTATTCAAAGTATGAAGTCATAGTTCCACTAAGTTTTGTAACCTTACATATTTGTATTGAGTATTTGGACAATTATAGTGATGATCAATTGAAATCATGTTACATTTCTTTGAAGAAACTTGAATTTGAAAAGCTGTTGCGGACTCTACAGCGTTGCGGACTCTACAAAACACAATATATTTGCCAGAATTCCAAGCAACACTGAGCTAAAGTCTGATATTTTTTGGTAGATAGATTAGTAGCTGTACTGGCTTCTTACATGTAAAATAAAAGAAATATAATTCATAATACATTCCAGAATAAGCACATGTTGCGGACACTACAGAATTTTGGGACATTTTTATGCCAGTAAGAAGAAAATGTGTCATTTTCTAAAGTTTCGAAGAATCCACTCAAACTTTTCTTTATTGTTTCATTTATCATTTAACTCTAATTTTAAAATGAACCTAAAGTAAGAGTAATGCATTAACATATATTTTTTTAAACTGCAAGTTCAAACAGTAGAATTTTATTAAATTTCATAACGTATCTGCATTTTCACATATTTAAACATTATTTCGCTAATATTTTGTTGATTTACTTACAGTAAATTGCATATAAAAGAGGGATAATTTCACAATGATTTGACATCTATAACTAAGAGTTTCTATCGTAAATCTCCTGAAACAAAAACTGGAAAACAAAGCCATTTTTCAGCTGCAACAGCATAACGCAAAATATACCCCATATTTTAGGTAGTAAATCTTTAATATTTTTATTGTCTAGAATATGGGAGTGTTATATATCATTTAACTTGTTAGGGGTACTATTTTGTCATAATTTGGTCATATTTGTTAAGGGTTTAATCATATATTTTGATGCAGAGTCCATTATAACATAAGTGAGTATGAAAAAACACAAATACTGTGAAAATGGCGATAACATTTACGAAGGAGAACCATGTAAACACAAACAACTTATATTAATGGGCGGTAAAATAACCACAATATTAAATTAATACGAATGCTAGAAGACTAAAACAATTGAATTTCCAACTGTAAACCTTACTTTTTACAGTCTTATAACCAATTTTATCATAAAACTGAAGTTATTACTGTATTTCACCATTTCTTCCATATCGCATTTACCGTATAGGCCTACCACGCCTGATCATATCTCGATCGTAGTCGCAACAGAGCGAGTTATGGTTGTTGTTTAGATGCACTAAAACAATGCTTAGACATTGACAATTAGAATAATATTCATTAAGTCCTTGATAGTTCTTTAATTGACTGAAAAAAGATGAGTTTGATATCCAGCATGAACATGTTCGACGGTGTCTAGTCAGTTCGAACCCTGCTCTATTCGGACCATGGCATAATGTCCCAGACTGTAAATTTGACATCTTGTTTAAAACTTAACATTTTTATTAGTTAATTATTTGACCTACTGCTATCTTTAAATTAAAAAAAAAATGTTTTTGAAATTGTTTTTCGTGTTCGATGCCATTGAAGTCTTTCAGGCTTTTGATTATTTTGTGTTAAGTGCAAGTTTAAAGAGACATTTTTTGTCATCAACATCTTACTCAAAGTACCTTCAGTCAAAGTCTCTTTTTTTTTTGTTTTTAAAACAGGTGAATGCTGTTTGTTATGGAGCTAAAATTATGTTACCTGGTGTCCTAAGATATGAAGATGGAATTGAAGTAAATGAAGAAATTGTGATCTTAACCACAAAAGGAGAAGCAGTTGCTCTAGGTGTGTATTTGATTTTAAAGACAGAATTTAGGCATACAAAATTTAATGTTATGAAAAGCAGTATTAAAAAATTATGGTGGAGTGTGATTGAGAAAACTCATACATCATTAGAAATAATCTGTGTTATAGTACAAACTGATGCCAGAAATATTAAAGGGATTTTTGTTCTCTATTAGCTATTGCTCAGATGACTACCGCAGTTATGGCTACATGTGACCATGGAATAGTGGCAAAGATCAAAAGGGTTGTCATGGAAAGAGACACATACCCGAGAAAGTGGGGGCTGGGCCCAGTAGCATCTCAGAAAAAGAAAATGATTCTAGCAGGAACTCTAGATAAATATGGAAAACCCAATGAGAAGACACCAGCCAACTGGAAAAAGGGTTACGAAGACTTCAAGTAAGTTTTCATAAATAATATGTTCTGAATTTATTTTGCATTGTTTTTGATGAATTAGGTTGAAAAAGTTGCTTTGTAGGCAGTGTCATATATTTGTGCTTACTAGAGCTAAATGGTAAAGGTTGCATCTTTTTTATTAGAGAATGCAAAAAAAAAAACAAAAAACAAAAACAAAAAACTAATGTAATAAAAAAAACTAACAAAATTGTATCAGGGGAAAGCATTATTTTGGGTATATAAATTTTCTATGAAAATTACTATGCAAAAAGGGTATATCTCTTGTCCTTTTAGTAACTTTTGTCAAAATTTTGGTGCATTTTTTTCTACCTTAAATAAAGAGGAAGTGATTAAACTGTGTATAATGACATTTATAGATGAGTAAAACCTTTTATGCCCAGCAAAAAATTATAATTACACATGTTAAGGCTCACTTCAGAGTGTATGTTGCATTTCCTCACCTCGCTCAGAAAAAAAATTAGGGTAAAGGGCTATCAAAACATTTTCAAATTTTTATTCTTAATCTTTACAGGTTTTTTTCTTTACATTTAGTATATATGTACCAAATGAAATGACCAATGCTTACAAAATCCTAATATTTCCAATTTACAAAAAAGGATGAAATTAAATTTCAGACATCCATTTCAAATTCATCATCTAAAATCTAAACTGTATCAAAAAAGTTTAAATCAAACTAGATGCTGTCATAAGACAGTAATACCCGCACTAAGGTGTTTGCCTCTAAATGCACACTCCTTCATATTGGGCTTACCAAGGAAAAAGTCCAAATAATTCTATAATTTACACAGTACATGTATTCGTCAAATCGAGCATAAAATGCTCAGGTGACCATGTGACCCATGAATCTTTTATACGCATTTCATATACTTAATTCATTACCAGTCTGAAATAACAGAATTTAATTAATGATGTTAATTAGATTTTGATAAAAGGGGGGGGGGGGATTAAATTTTTGGCCCATAATTGGAACATTTTAAATTTATTTTCTCAACAACAAATAATATTATTTCAGTACAAAGCATTTTTGATGAATTTATCAAAATGTGCAAACTTTTTTTAGTATTTGATTAGGCAAAAACCTCCTTGAAAAGCCATACCCAATCAATTTTGCCCCCCCCCCCCCAACACACACACACAATTTGCCTGTTTTTGGAAATAGGCCTAGATGGCAAAGTTATGTTAAAACATCGTTTGTTATGATAATTTAGAATTTGTTCTTGTACTGTACATGTACATGTACATGTATGTGAACACCTTTTTGAAAATTTCTACATCACATTGGGCTTGCCTCACCCTACCAGTGCGAGTACTAGTTTTACCATAATCATTTTTTAGATTGCACATGCCATGTGACATGGTGCAGTGTTACATATATATCAGTGGAAATTAATTCATTTTGTGTTTTAATTGGATTATATTTCATGAAGTTGACAGGACCTATGACAGTCGGTAAGTACAAGTTTAAGTATAGATTGGGGTAAAATAAACCGAAATGCAAATAGTTAGGTTAAAGTTTAAAAAGGATCAAAGATCATCGGCAATCTCCTATGCAGAGTTGTCGTTCGTTTCTCTCTCAGCCACTGAATGTATGAGCCGATGGTAGAGAGTGGATCAGATGGAATTTCGCATTCTGAAGAAGAGTTATCTCCCGTTGTCGACATTACATTCAGTTACAGGCACAGATCCGGGAATTTTTTTCCGGGGGGGGGGGGGGGGGGGGGTCCACACCTCAGTCCAAAAAAAATTCAGCGCAGAATTTCCTGAGAAGCAAAAAAAAAAAAAAACAAACAAACAAAAACAAACAAACAAAATAAAAACAATGATGGTGGGGTCCATGTTTTTAAAGGGGGAGGGCATCCAAAGTCATTTTTTATTTGCTTCTGTAAATCAGTATATAGTCCTATTTAAATAACTCTGCAAATTCCAGGGGGGGGGGGGGGGGTTCCAATCTCCCTAGCTGCTCCCTGTCCCTGAAATGACAAATGATCATGTGACTCCTGAATAGTAGAAAACTTTTCCATTTGACTATACATAATTTTGTTTCTTGTGTTATTATGTTATGTACATCTAATGGTTTAAGGTTATGAACCCCTGGAGGTCATCCCCACTCTCTTAATGAACTGGAAATGTTCATAATATGACTACATCAAATTAAATAAAAGTGCATCAATGATAAGATTACTTGACATTTCATTCATGAATTTGGGTCAACCCATGTACCCTCCTAGAATTAGGAATGAAAATCATTCAAAGAGATGGACCATTAAACTATTTGTATACAGTGGCGCCTCGTTAATCCGGACGCCTCCGTCCCCAACGAAATCGTCCGGATAAATGAATCGTCCGGATAAGTGAATCACTTCTAAAAAGACCCTTTTAAAGCAGGTATAGTGGTATAATGTGAAGGCAAAGAAAAACACCTTCATTTTACCTTTATTTTTGTAGTTTTAAAAGAAATAATTAATATTCAAAAAAGAAAAAAAAATAAAATGTAATTTATTTACACGATGAAAAATGGATAAGCAATTTTATGTTGAGACTTCTTTTTTAACACAGGAAACTGATCTAGCCTTTTATTTGACGTCTGGTTACATGGGCTGACCAAATTTCGGCTTTTTTTTTTAAAATTTATTCAAGCTCATATTAGGTAATATGTTCATTATCACCATTGAGAATGTTCAAATGACTAACTGCATACATGTATATACTCTGCATAGGAAAGTATGTAACTAAACAGTGTCATCAGTGTACGTATTGTAAACATTCAACGTAAACACAAGGCATATTCAGGATTTTCAATATTTTTTCTATAAACTCTAAGTTATAAACCTTGAAAAAACGTGATCGGCATTTATAACTAACGCCAGTTACGTATTTCTTAGTGTATTAAATAGAAAGATATTTTCTTGAACTATGTAACTATCCTTATAAATTGTCTTATGAAAAGAAAAAAAAAAACATTTCAAATAATGTACGCTTTGAGAAAAGGAAAATCGTATTTTGATAAACTTACGAAACTCAATATCACAACGAAATCTCGTGATTTACATGTATTATTCATTAGGTCACCTGAGTTTACTCAGGTGACCTATTGCTATCTGTTTTCGTCCGTCGGCGTGCGTCGTGCGTCGTCCGTCGTCCGTCGTGCGTTAACATTTGAACATTTTCAGCTTCTTCTCTGGAACCACTGAACCAATTTCAACCAAATTTGGCACATAGCATCTATATGTGAAGGGGAGTAAAAATTGTGAAATTCATGACCCCTACCCCCCTGGGGCCTGAGGGGTGGGGCTAAAACCATCAGAATTAATGCAATCTTTAAAAATCTTCTTCTTTACTCCTGGGCATCAAGCAGGCAAACTGTTGGCATGAATGTAATAAGCACTGAGCCCTCTACCTAAATTGTGAAATTTATGGCCCCAGGGTCAGGGGTTCTGGTGCTAGGGTGGGGCTCTGTTGAATATGTAGTGAAAAGCATTATTCTTAAAAAATCTTCTCCTCTGCTCTTCGGTATTTAGGAAACAAACAATATGCATAGTTATGATGAGGAAAGGTGTCTCTTCTAAAATTGTGAATTTCATGGCCCCTGGGTCAGGGGTTCTGGTGTTAGGGCAGGTATCTAATGATTATATAGTGAAAATGCATTAATTATTCAAAAATCTTCTCCTCTGCTCCTGGGTACTAAGCCGATGAACTAAGTACATAGTTATGATGAAAAAGAGTGCCTCTTCCAAAATTGTGAATTTCGTGGCCCAAGGGTCAGGGGTTCTGGTGTTAGGGTGGGGCTCTGTTGAATATATAGTGATAATGCATTATTTCTTTAAAAAGCTTCTTCTGTGCTCTTGGATATTATGAAAACAAAATAAATACATAGTTATGATGATGAAAGGTGCCTCTTCCAAAATTGTGAATTTCATGGCCCCAGGGTCAGGGGTTCTGGTGTTAGGGCAGCGTTCTGTTGAATATACATGTATAGTGAAAATGCATTATTTCTTTTAAAAATCTTCTCTGATCCTGGGCAAACAAACTGAAGGCATAGTTATGATGAATAAGGGTGCCTATTCCTATGTTGTGAATTTCATGGCCCCCTGGTCAGGGGTTCTGGTTTTAGGGCGGGGCTCTAATGATTACATAGTAAAAATGCAATAATTCTTTGACAATCTTCTCCTTTTCTCCTGGGTAATAAGCCGATGAACTAAGAGTATAGTTATGATATGTAAGGGTGCCTGTTCCAATATTGTGAAATTCATGGCCCCTAGGTCAGGGGTTCTGGGGTTAGGGTGGGGCTCTGTTGAATATATAGTGATAATGCATTATTTCTTTAAAAATCTTTTTCTTTGATCCTGGGTATTTAACAAACAAACTGATGCATAGTTATGATGAGTAAAGGTGCCTCTTCCAAAATTATGAATTTCATGGCCCCTGGGTCAGGGGTTCTGGTGTTAGGGTGGGGCTCTAATGATTACATAGTAAAAATGCAATAATTCTTTGAAAATCTTCTTCTTTTCTCCTGGGTATTAAGCTGATGAACTAAGAGTATTGTTATGATATGTAAGGATGCCTCTTCCAAAATTGTGAATTTTATGGCCCCTGCATCATGGTTCTGGTGTTAGGGCAGGGCTCTAATGATTACATAGTGAAAATGCATTAATTCATTGATAATCCTCTGCTCTCTTTCTGGGTATTAAGTAAGCTTACTCAATGTAAAATTATGATGAGCAAGTGTGCCTCTTTCGAAATTGTGAATTTCATGGCCTCTGGTTTAAAACATGAATCCATTGTGGCGAAGTTGTTGCATGATACTCAGGTGACCTATAAGGCCCGTGGGCCTCTTGTTTTATTTACAACTCTCCAAAATTCTTATAAATTTATACATGGTTAGCAATTAATTCTATTCTGAACGGATTTATATTTAATTAATGCACAGTATAAGCTAAATTTTTCGAGTTTATGATATATTATTATTTGGGGTAAACAGTTTTAACACACGCTCATTATAGACCTATTGTTTGGAGGTCACAGGTGACCGCCTTCAAACTGACTCCACGAACAATGTTTTTACAACAATTGTCACTACTGCAAGAAAGGTGTGAAAAAGTCGCTCCTCCAAAAATTGCCGTCCGGATAAACGAGTCATTTTTCAATGAAATATTACGTTTTGTAGTAAAAATTGACCGTCCGGATCCGGAACGCGAATTTCCGGATTAATGAGACATAATAATGTGGAAAAAATCGGTTCCCCAAAAATATCGTCCGGAAGGTGAAGCGTCCGGATTATTGGCGTCCGGATTACCGCGGCGCCACTGTATATTCACATTTTTTTATGTCAAACCAAAGTATTAGACTAGTTTGCATACATGAACAAACAGGGGTCTGGGAACGGGAAGGGGCAAGGAGAAGGAGTTATCTTTTTACGTCTTAATTGTTGAAAACTCCTAAAATGAATGTTAACCTCAAATCTGACTTGTATGTCTTCATTATTTTTAAGTGGTGGTGTCTCCGTATGAGTGAAAAATTCCCAAGAGGGACATTTAACAACAAGGTTGTGCATTTTAAAATTCACTAAGCTCTGTGGTTGAATTAGCTATACCAGTTTAGCTTATTTTGCTATTCAAAGCACCTTAATTAACTATTTTTAATCATACTGTTTTCTGAAATGTGAAGTTTTTTCAACATGATATAAGTCATACCTTTTCAGCTTCTGAAAACAATGCATGAAAAAAAAAAACTGCTTTTCAAATACTGTAACTCTTTCCAAGTACTTGTGATCATCAGTTTTTAGCTCACTTGAGTTTTTCTGGTTTTCTGATCACATTTTGTTTGTCATCCATCTGTCCACCTGTAAACTTTTCACATTTTTGTCTTCTTCACTAGAACCGCTGGGCCAATTTCAACCAACCCTGCCACAAAGCATCTTCGGGTAAAAGGGATTCAAGTTTGTTCAAGTGAAGGGTCACACCCTCTTTCAAGGGGGGATAATCAAGAATTAGTGAAAATTTGGTGGTATCATTTTAAAAAAGTCTTATCAAGAACCACTGACTGGGCCCAAAAAGTTGAAACCTTCTTTACATAGACTTAGTGTAGCTTCAAATTTGTTAAAACTATGACCCACTGGGATAGGGTGGGGCCACATATGGGGATCCAATGATTTACATAGAAAAATGCAGGGGATTTTTTCCATCATAAATCTTCTTCTCATGAACAGCAAGGGCATTATTGTCGTCCGTTTTCACAAAAGGGACCTAGGGTACATTAAATCTCATTTGTCTGTCAGTCTGTCCATTTGTCAGTCTGTCCGTCTGTCACAATAAATTTAACCTTGGTCATAACTTTTGAATAATAAGAGATAGGGCTTTCATATTTCACATGTACATTACCTACAAGAACTTTCTAAACATACCATGATTTTTGAACCCATGACCTTGACCTTGAAGTTTGACCTACTTTTCAAAAAATTTAACATTATTTTAAATGATCATTTTGAAAGAGAAAAGATAGGGCGTTCATATTATACATGTATATTACCTGTGACAAGACCTTTCTAAATATATCATGACTTTTGACTCTGTGACATTGACCTTGAACTTTAACCTACTTTTCAAAAATGTTATATTTCCTTATAACTTTTTATTGAGAAGAGATAGAACTTTTATATTTGACATGTACATTACCTGTAACAAGATGTTTCCAAGCATGCTATGATTTTTTTACCCCTTGACCTTGATGTTTTACCTAATTTTCAAAAATTTTAACTTTGGTGATTACTTTTGAATGACATATGATAGGGCATGCATATTTGAAACAATATGTCATAAATAATGGCATCCCATCCACTAGGACACGGAAAGCAGGGGACCACAATTCTTTGAATTTACTTGTTAGTCATTTTGATATGGAAACATCCTCATATAGTGTAGATTCAAGTTTTTTATGCCCTGCCATGAATATGGTCGAGGCATATAGTGTTTGTCATGTCAGACTTCAATAAAACGTCATATGCTGATACATACTGATGTAAGCTTTTCAACTGCATCAAAATTTTTGACCTTGACTTTTCCTTTGACCTTGACCTTACTTTTCTTAAATTAGTGTCTAGATCAGTTTTGAATAAACAATTCAAGATATATTTATCAAACTTCATATGCTGAAAGATACTGCTGAGAGCTATCAATTGCATCAACTTTTTTGACCTTGACTTTCCCTTTGACCTTGACCTCACTTTTTTAAATTAGTATTTATCTACGTTTTAAATAAAGCATTTCTGATATTTTTATTGAACTTCTATGCTAATAGTAAATACATACTGATATAAGCTTTTCAACTGCATCAGCATTTTGACCTCAACCTTTCCTTTGACCTTGACCTCTCTTTTCTCAAATAAGTGTTAAGCTCAGTTTTAAATAAATCATTCAAGATATTTTTATCAAACCTAATATGCTGATATGTATTAGTGAGAGCTATTCAACTGCATCTAAAACTTTTCACCTTGCACTTTCCTGTGACCTTGACCTCCCTTCTCTTTAATTTGTATTTTGCTTAGTTTTAAAGAAACAATCTTAGATATTTTTTGTAAGCATGCACTTATACATAATTTTGTGAGAATTTATCATCTATATCCATTTTTTTTAGATTTTAGTTTCAATTTTAAAGAAACTGTTCAAGATATTCTCATCAAACTTCATACACTCATACAAATTTTCATGTTGCATTAGTAATATACATTCGGCGGGGCATTTATGTCCTATGGACATATTTCTAGTTTTCAAATCATGACCTCCGAGGATAGGGTCAGGCCACAATAAGGGATCAAAGTTTTATAGAGATTTAAAAGGAAAAAAAATCTTCAAAATTCTTCTTTTTAAGAACAACAAAAGCATGATTCATATGGAAACATTCCCAAGAAGTGTAGATTCAAGTTTGTACAAATCATGACCCCATGGGTTAGGGAGGGGCCATTTTTTTCCTGCCCCTATTTGCTATCCACATGGAAATGCAAATTTTAAAACCATTTTACACATCCACAGGACAAAATCAATCATCTTCCAAATGATCATGATTTAAGGCTAGTGCATAAAATATAAGGGAAGTTCTGGGAACCAGGATGTTTAAACATGTTAAATATTTAAAAAAAAAAATTTGACCCCCATTTGACCCCCAGGGGGAAAATAAGAATTCCGAAACCTTACTGCACATCTATAGGACACCACCAATCATCTCCTAAAAGATGATTAAGCTACTGTGTAAAATGTAAGAGGAGTTCTGGGAACCAGGGGGGTTTTGCATAAAAAACGACATTTTTCGACCCCCATTTGACCCCCAGGGTGAAAATGAAAATTCCGAAACCTTACTGCACATCTGCAGGACACCACCAACCATCTCCCAAAAGATGATTAGGCTACTGTGTAAAATGTAAGAGGAGTTCAGGGAACCAGGGGCTTTTTGCATTAAAAAAATGTCATTTTTCGACCCCCATTTGACCCCCAGGGTGAAAATGAAAATTCCGAAACCTTAGTGCACATCTCCATGACACCACCAACCATCTCCCAAAAGATGATTAGGCTACTGTGTAAAATGTAAGAGGAGTTCAGGGAACCAGGGGCTTTTTGCATAAAAAAACGTCATTTTTCGACCCCCATTTGACCCACAGGGTGAAAATGAAAATTCCGAAACTTTACTGCACATCTGCAGGACACCACCAACCACCTCCCAAAAGATGATTAGGCTACTGTGTAAAATGTAAGAGGAGTTCAGGGAACCAGGGGCTTTTTGCATAAAAAAACGTCATTTTTCGACCCCCATTTGACCCCCAGGGTGAAAATGAAAATTCCGAAACCTTACTGCACATCTACATGACACCACCAACCATCTCCCAAAAGATGATTAAGCTACTGTGTAAAATGTAAGAGGAGTTCAGGGAACCAGGGGCTTTTTGCATAAAAAACGTCATTTTTTGACCCCCATTTGACCCCCAGGGTGAAAATGAAAATTCCGAAACCTTACTGCACATTTACAGGACACCACTAACCATCTCCCAAAAGATGATTAAGCTACTGTGTAAAATGTAAGAGGAGTTCAGGGAACCAGGGGCTTTTTGCATAAAAAACGTCATTTTTCGACCCCCATTTGACCCCCAGGGTGAAAATGAAAATTCCGAAACTTTACTGCACATCTACATGACACCACCAAACATCTCCCAAAAGATGATTAGGCTACTGTGTAAAATGTAAGAGGAGTTTGAGAAATAAGAGTGTGACAGACGGACGGACGGACGGACGGACGGACATGAGTAACAACAATATACCCGAACTTTCTTTAGAAAGTGCGGGTATAATTATGCTTTCATCAAAAAACAAGAATTTTCTTTTGATGAACTTCAGCAAAACATTGGATGAATTATGCCCCTTTGCAAAAGTTAATTGTGCCAAAATTATACTTTCCTCCCATTAGATTTTGATACAGTTTTTACTGCATATATTTTTTATATGATATATTTCATTCATCACAAAATAATTTCTGTTCCAATTAAGTTTTACATTGGCCCACATTTTCACTGAATTGACTGGACTATTATTCATGTATTCCATTCCCTTTTTTGATATTTTTTTCCCTTCTCTGTAGTGTGAAGAAAGAACCCAAGGAGGAACCTTCAACAGAAACTGTGGTCAACTCACACAAAGTAAGGAACTGTAAAACTTGTTTGTATCAAACACTAGGCAAGATGACTGTAAATTTGTGCATTATCTTTTTCTTTTAAAAGTTCTTGATACACTTGCTTAGAACTTTATTTAAAATTCAGTAGTAAATGCCAAAGCTAGTGAAATTAGCAAAAATGCAGTATCTAATGCTAACCTGATCAAGTTCTAATGGATAAACGAAAATTTGACAATTTGCAATTTTTTTGCTTTTTGTGAATTATGCTTCTCTTAAGGTGTACCAAGAAGCTGTTGAAGAAGCTTGAATTCAGTAATTAGTATAACCCCAAGAAATTGGTGAGATGTAAAAGTACTCCAGATACCAGACCAAATATCCAGTAAAAAAAGTTATTAATTTCTGATGGACTGTCTTCTTGTAGAGAAAGAAGGAAGCCAGTACTTCCGAGGAGAGTGAGCCCCCTTCACCTCAGCCTGCTCCTGTACAAGAGGTGGAAAAGGAGAAAAAGAAGAAGAAAAAGAAGAAGAAGGACAAAAATCAGGAAGCTGATGAAGCAGGGGATGCTCCAGAGGTAAAGGTCATATGTCATAAGGTCAAATGTTGAGGAAATGTGATGTATTTAAAACAAGTATTTTCTGTATGATACTGATTTAGGATACAGTTGAACTTCGATATCTCGTTCACTGATATCTTGAATATCATGGATATATCGAAATGATTTGGAAGTCCCAATTCCTTATTTCTTGAGTATTTTACCCTGGATATCTCAACCCTCGGATATCTCGGTCCCATTGGGTTCATGATAATAAGGTTTGACTGTATTTTAGTCTAACAGTTTTCTTATTTCAGCATTGAGTAAATTATGTCCATAAATGCATTTATTTTCCAACTCTGTAAACTCGGGACATTGGGAACTAAATTTAGACTTTATACATATGATCTTTATGTTTGAAAGAAACTTTTGTAACTATCTACTACAACCACCTTTGTCAAATTGGATTCCAGAGAATATTGTTAGAAAAAAAAACTGAAACCATTTCACGTATTTTTTTTTTAAATCAAAAAACCACAATAAACCCATTATTAGGTTTAAATTCCCTATGTGACCAGTCATGTTGTAATATTAAAACTAAGTTTCACTTTGATTTCTTTAGGAATCACCAGAAAAGAAGAAGAAAAAGAAAAAGCACAAGAAATTAAAAACGGAGGCAGAAAGTGACTGATTAACAGTGTGTGTGTGAGAGTGTGTGAAATCAACAGTGTGTGAGAGATGGTGTGAGAGAGATTCATGTGGCATTTCTCAGTTTTATCAACAAACTACAGACAACTATAAAAATGCTGTTAAACCTGGTACATACATTTATATATATACATGTAGATGGGACAGTGACCTGATTGACCAGGTTATGGATACTTGATGTGTTCATATTTTGTATATTTCTCTTTTATATATGTTAAGAATGAAATGTGCTGTTAGTCTGTTAATAAAATTGTTTTCATTCATACCTGTCACTTATACATTCTCATCTGCACATGCATTGCTGCCGTTAAGGGCAGGTCTAGGTACTGCTGAACTTACATCTTCTCTGTCATAAGCACTGAGAATGTGAAAGAATAATCTTTACATGGTATTACTTCTAAAAGGAACTGATGAAGTTTTCTCTCAACATTATTATACCCCATGCAACAAGTTGCATGGGGTATAATGTTTTTGACTCGTCCGTCCGTTAGTCAGTCGGTCAGCCCCGTTTTTTGTCAGCGCAACTCCTCTTAAACAGAGAATTTCGTCAAACTTTGCAGATATTTAGGACACAGTGTGTAGAGGTGCATATTGCCAGGAAATTTCGATTCCATTATTTATCTGGGAATTTCGGCATTTTTCAACTTCGAATTTTGGCCATATCTTGAATATAGAGATGAACAGTTTGTCAGTGCAACTCCTCTTAAACCGCTGCACAGAATTTCGTCAGACTTTGTAGATATTTAGGACACACTGTATGGTGTACGAGGGCACTTTCAAGATTATAGCCTCCTATATATTTTAGACATTTGGGAAAAGACCTCTCCAGTTAGAATTTTTGTAATCGGACATCAGAATTTTTTATGCCATGTTTTAAAGAAATATAAAGGGGCAAATATATGATTTCTGTTTGGTATATGTATATGTGTGCTTGGGGGGGGGGGGGGGGGG